TATCTCTTCTCCCAGTGGTTCCACTGGGTCAACTCCTTTTAGCCCATTCTGAATTTCTCCATCAAAATAGCAGTGCTTCCCATGCGGGATATGAGTAGATGCATCTAAAATGAGAACTTATCCCACCTGCTCACTAAAATTTCCAGAAACAAGTGACTTGTTTAAAATAGTTTACCTCTGTATTTTTGACAAGCAAATTTTCAGCTAATTTCTCCCATTTATCCTGCCTCTGCTGCCTCCGTCCCCCACAGGAGCAGGTGATGAGCTGCCGTGCAGTTCCATAAGAACCTGCGCAAAGGGAGAGGCCCAGGGCTGCTGCTGATGCCGGCTGCTTTTGCGGGCGATGCTGCGTAGCAGCGACGGCAGCAGAAACACTCCCGTATGTAGCACAGGTGGCTGCCCTTCTTTTCCCTAGCTCATTCATCCTGCCTACTCATTAGTCTACATGAAATTCCTTCTGCTCTTGAAAAAATGTTACATCCTTTATTCTCAACATGTCCAAGATACATTAAAATGGAAAGAAATTCCACATCCCGAAACTCACTCTTCTCAGGAGTGCTGGCAGACCCCAGCAAATGAGGCAGCACAGAATGATTACCCTCAGTAACAAATCCACAAAGTTACTTCACTGTTTGCACAGCAATGCTCTTGGGGTGTTTTACAAGAATTATCTGCCAACACCATTTTCAGATTGCTACAGGAAGCAGTGTTGTGCATATACAAATGAGCAAATTGCATCACAGGTAGGGGAGTTTTTTTGCTGTTGTTTTGTTTTTTTTGGGTTTTTTTTTTTTGGTTTGTTTGTTTTTAATGAACATGAAATCCATACAGCAAAAATGAGGACAAAATACAAGACTCAACTCCAAAGCTCAGTAAAGCAGACAATTCAAAACAAAGAAAAAAGAGTCTGAGAAACAGTTTGTAAAAGGCATTAAGAAAATCCTTAATACTAAATTTTTCAAACAGATTAGCGTCACCTGAGAGCATCAGCTCTCAGATTTTGGACCATCCAGGTATAAAAGCAGGGCTTGGAGACAGCAGGTCTTTCTGGATCTCCAACAGCCATTCTGGAAGGTCCCTCACTAAAGGCTTGGGGAGGGGGGTAAAAGGCCTCATCCTAAACAAAACAAAAACACATGTGAAAAACTGGTGATAAGTCATGAAACAAGAGACTGGTGTGTCCCTGCTGCAGCTCTGTAGAACTGCTCAGGCTCCTCACGTGTTTCCTAAGGATAAACAACAGGACGACAACATTTTTTGATTATGCTAAGTAATTCAGAGCAGTGAAGACGAGTGCAATCTGCAAACAATGAAAGAGTTCACACTGCTGGGCAGTGGGAAAAGGGCAGAGAAAATCCGCTGTAGATAGATCTACTCTACTAAACGTGGAGAAAACTCCCATCTTCACACAGAGATGGACTCTGAGCTGACCATTACCAGGCAGGGATGAGAATTTGGCATAAAGAAAGAAGGGAAGCAACTTCTAGGAGTTACTGGGAAAGAAACACAAGACTGAAAACATTACTATGCTGCTTGTCTACTTCATAACTGCATTACTGTATGAGGTAGTAATTCCTCAATTCAGAGACATAACAGACTAGGAAAAGATACCGATAAGGGCAGGAAAGGGAAGATGACAACACTTCTGAAGAGCAGTCAAGCCACCTCCAGCACAGGCAGCCACACAGCTGGGAATTGCTGGGAACAGCAGGAGTCCTCAGGGAGGCAACTGCTCAGCTCTTACATCTTCCTGCTGCACTGGTGGGTCAGTCCTGGAGACAGGACGTGGGTGGGAGGACCCCCACACTGGCCTGGCTGCACTTATCTGCTCTTATCTTGCTGTTTGCTCAGGAGGAGGACGCAGCCTTAAAAATTACATTTCAACTCTGGAGACAACTGATAACAACATTAACTTAACTGGCCTAAGGCAATGTCCACTGAAACCAGCAGAAGGAACCAACAGGAAACAGGTTTAATCCCTAAGTTTGAAGACCTGGCACCTACCTACCAGGTCAGCTGGCAGACGTGGTGATGGGTATAGAGGTTTCACTTCAGGGAAATAGAGGGATGCCTAGAGTGAGCTCTTTATGAACAACTGAGAGATAACATAAGAGCACAAAGCATTTCACATGAATTTATCCAGGTAATCTTTGTTTACCATCAGACTCTTGAGAGCAGCAAAAAGGGCCATTTTCCTTATCAGGTGAAGTCGGGATACAACAATGGGACTGAAATAAGTCACTTATGACTGGCTGGCTATAGGGGATGCTCAGAAATCTGAAACTTTTCTGTTACATGAATCAGTTACTAATGAGGATTGACAGGCCAGCATTATATATTTTTTATTTAAAAAAAATCACAAAAATCTTATTACATAGAAATCTTATATACTTCAGAGTGGTGGGGGGGGACTCAAGAAATATAAACAAAAATGACAGTGCACCTACCCAGAAAGATATTGCAGAATGGTAAATTATTGCCTAAAACTACAGTTAGCACCTACACAGATAGCCACACATCTAAAGTCTCAGGCAAAGTCAAGATTCTGCAGCAGAAGACTGTAGATGAGACAGCAGTTCTGATGTGTAAAGAGAGGTGAAACAAAGAGGCTATTGAAAATAGTCTGAAAAATAGTACAAAATAACAAGTTCATCTTGACTGGAAACAGTTCAGCTCATGCGAGTGTCAAACTAATGCGCACAGATACAATAAGGATAAAGTTTCAAATCCTGGGTAGTATTTAGTGATGCCATTTAAACTCAGTTAATAGGAGCATAGTTGTTCACATCTAGAGGAACAGGAAAATCACCCCAAAATATTATATACTCTCAAAAAACACCTCTTATATTCTCAAAAGAGAAATGAAAGGGAAATTCTTTGGAAGTTGTGGCACCCTGAAAACTGAAGGAAGAAATGTCAGCACCCTTTAGGGAAAGCAGTCTGTCTGGGCAAATATTTAATACACCAGGCACATGCTTGCAGCCATTTCAATAAAAATAATTTAAGAGAAAATCAGAGTTATGAAATGCAGTCACTAATGGAAGAATGTATGAACATAAATACTTTACAAAGCCTCTTTTGATACTAAACTGCTTCCTAATGAAATGACAAAAGAACAAACTAACTAGTGGAAATAGGGCAAATTGGGGAAACCAGTTAACTATGACAGATAAATAAATGCAATCCTTTCTCATCACATTTGCTCCATCATAGTGCTCTCGCCAGCAAATCTCTCGGCAGCCCTAGGGGCAAAAATTTGACCATCTGCAGAGCAGAGATGAGCCTGTCCCAAGGCACACTGCAAATGGGGAAGGGAAAGTATCTGTGCATCTGACAGAGCCTTGTGACTGCAATTATCAGAGAGCACAGCAAACCTTTTCCATATGTTTTAAAATAAATTTCACAATTATGTTTCTTTGGTCATAGCCAAAACCCAAATATGCTCCACTTTAAGAATTAAAATTAGCATTGCCAATGAAAAATTAACTCACACACTAAGCATATGAACCAAAAATGTGGATTTTATAGAGATGAAACAGTTCTACAGAGATTTCTGTGATTTCCTTCCCTCTGTTGTACTGAACAGTCACACAGTAACAGTTAACACACTTGGAAAACTATGCATTGTCTTCAGGGCTGAACTTGCACACAAAAGAAGTCACTGCTGCGTAATACAAGATTGAAACTTTGTTAAATTATCACTAAAAGGTACTCTCTACAACCCTTTAAACATACAAATTGAAGAAAATCTAACTGGACTGCAGGTCTCATACAATAAAAGTCTTTTCTCTGTGCATCCTAGTGCTTTCTGGTTGCTGCACTGTACATACATGTAGGACACCAAAAGCCACTCGGGTATACAACAAAATCTGTCATTGCTGTTTTACACAAAAGTTAGTATACTGTAATGGGAAGAGGAAAAAAAAAGAGTTAAGAGGTTAAGAGTTTCTAATCTAAGATTTTTAACTACTGTCCTTGTTAAAAACGAATGTTTACTTGGTTGAAATGGTTAGAAAAATCATTCCATCGAGCTATCCGTTTATGAAATTTGTTCTACTATCATTTTTTCCTGGATACCAGTGTGTTATTAAAAATATCTGTATCAACATGCACATACAGGTTTCCTTTCTAAGGACTAGTTTATGTTCTGAGTATGAAAAGCACATTCTGACTATTATAAACATAAAAGTAGTAAATATTTAACATGCAATACCATTTACTTACAATGTACAATAACCTTATTTTTGCTACGGAGGTACAAACACTAGCCTATGCACTGTGCATTATCTTCACGAAATTTTCAGTTAAGTTTGAAATTCCTATATGTCAAAAAAATTCTTTTAATTCTCCAAACTCAATTTACATGATTTTCTATCTACTTTTACCTCCTTATTTTTGATTTTTTTTTCCTGGTTTCAGTAAAATATAAGGACAAACAATTTCTTTCAAACTCTTTCCTGGAGCTTGTCTCATTTCCTGCCTCCTGTGAAGCAATGAGACAGACCAGCAAAAACTGTCACTGTAACATCTACATTCCTGAATACTGAGTTCAATTCATCAATGATAATAATTAATTCCATAGGATTTAAGATTGAGCTTCCATCACACTTTTCTTCATGAGTTCATGCAATTGAGGAGGGTATGAAAAATGTTACTGCCCTGTTACTCAGTTCTCCCAGGCAATCATACCTTCTTTCCTCTATTTCATGCTTCTTAGTAACTTAGTTCATATGACATGGCAACGCTGACACACTGTTCGGAGCCTCTTACCCTTCATTTTGTCATTTCTGTGAGCTCTGCTAAGCACCTTTCTTTCACTCTCACATTTGAACTACAGCACATCATGTAGTACCACAGCGTAAAAATGCTCTCCTTTCCTACACCTATCGGGCAGCCTTGTAGAACACACTTTCATCACAGACCACACCATAAAGGCTATGCATTACTTGAAATTTAAGAGCCACACAAAACAATTTTACTGCTGTAACATAAAAACTTACCCACTTGGCAATTGGACACCCCTGAGAGCTCTTTCCTTCCTTTCCTGTATAAACCACTACCTCTATTCTTACAGCGCTTCCTTTTGCTCCATACCTGCATTAAAAAAAAATTCATGAGTACAACTAAAACTGCTGCAGACCATTTTAGAACAGGGAACACTTTCAATAAAACAAGAATAACTTTTATTTTTGTTTTACTAAGAGCAGAACAGAAACAGGATTTACATCTTCATATAAATCCTAGTAGACTTAAGTCACAAATGTGCCCTTTCTGTGCAGTTTGCCCCAGCTGGTTACATGCAGGACACTGGAGAACCCAATCCTGCGAAGTGCTTCTCTCTGTCATTCATACCAACTTCAACAGCACCTAAGAGCACACTGCACCTGCTGAAGCTGTACCCTAAAGCTGCTGGAGCTCAGACAGGACAACAGAGTTTGGAACAGGAATGACAGTGTTCACCTCATGCATATCTGGGCAGAAAAATGCTTTACAAATAAGTACAGCAAAAAGTTTGAAAAAGCAAAGCCAAACATTGCACCTGAGTTGACAGGTACACTTAAAAATACTGTGGGCATTAAATGCTGAATTTTCCTCACCTGTTCTCCATTATTTCTCTCACAGCAGCAACAGTTGGTCCTGTCCCAAGGTGTGTATAATATGGACCTTCATCTTTCTCTATAATTTGCTCTGTAAACAAGTTGAGAAAATTAGGTTTGCACATGTAAAAATTTACACCATTAAAAGTACCTTAAGAGCTTTACAGAAGCATCCCCCAAATTAAATACAAAAAGTTAACCTAAATGTAACAAATAATACATTGATAAACTTTTCTCCTTAAAGCGATATAAAAATTATTTCATACCTGAAATAACTCCTGTTAATATGGTAATGGGTATTCCTGATATTGTAAAGTAATCCTAATCATATTAATCTTTTGCTTTCTTTAGCCATGTTCACTATCGGGTCAGGTACACATTAGCTGGGTAAGCGCCCAATGCTTTGTGAGTAGGGAAAAGGGAGAATGGAAGCAAACATTTAACCTGTGGACATACACTACAAAACAGCAAGGTGCAAGAAATCTGCCTATGTATATTTATTTACTTGTTCAGTGTCTGACTTGTTTTTCTATCTCTGCTTTGACAGACTGAAAATAAATCATGTCCAACACCATCAAATAAGATGTATTTGCAAAATTTCAAACTCTGAGTTTGGTCTGACATTCCGTCCCCCATCGAGTGTTATTACATCTCTAACTGCCACCTGAACTCCACCTCACCTCTCATCTCTGCAAATGAGAGACACCTAAAAGCCTTTGACAGGTACTGATTCAAGGCTAAATCACATCGCTCCCCAGGACCAGCGCTGACACTAACAAGATGGCCCACAACTCTGCCCTTCTCCTTGTCTAGCAGTATTTAATTTAGGCAACATGGAAAAGGTACTGGAGATCTGCCCAGTACATCTCAAGCAAAAATTACTTCTAAACCTTGAAAATCATAATTTGATACACTGCAGATAAATTCACATGAAGCGCAAGCCAGTGATGAGAAAACAAGTAGAAAAGTTCCTTTTCTTTTACTCACATTTAACCATACTAGTTGCAAGGCCAAAGATATTAAGATCTGATGTACGCTGCATGCCCAAAGGCCTCCAAACAATTACAGAAAGGGGGAGGGGAGTTTCCTCCCCTTCTCCCACTTTCTAAGAGCAAAACACTCAGCCTTTGCAATGGCAGAGTAACTGCCAAGTGCAATTCCTCACAGTAAATGCAGCAACGCAAACACGAACCCATTTGAAAGGTGAGTGCAAAAGTTAGCAAAAGGACTTACCGACACAGTCACAAGCTGGCAATTCAGACTGTCCTTTTTTCGTAGGTGTATCTATTAAATTTTTTGTAGGGGTGTCAAGAAACTTCATAGGTGACTCAAGAAAACTGCTGAGCGTGTTCTTGGCTGGCGAGCACCCCGAGTCCCCCGTGCTCTGTGGCTGGTCCGTACCAAAACTTGTCGCTGTCAGAACGGTCACTTCCCCTGCACACTCAATACTCCTGAGAGCTTCTGCGGCACCCGGCATACGGGCCCCACCACAGGGAACAGGTCGTGGATGGGACTTGGCATCTACTCGCTCCAGGGCATCCCGCTGCAAACAGGATTTGTCGTCGTTCCGCATTTCGTTCGCTCTGAGGTTAGGCTGAGGCAAGGGATGTGTCTGACCACCATTTGCTGCTTGCTGTACCTGAGAATTACTTTTTTCTGTAAACATTTGCACGTTTTCACTTGGTCTGTTTAATAAGGATGCCGTTTTCAACTGTGAAATGGCCACAGGATTACGGGAGGGCAGGTCGCTGTACTGGTTACTTGTAATAACATTATTTTTCAGGGGATCAAGATGTAGAGGGTCACCAGAGCCTGCAGCTTTGATCTGCTCATTCAGCACTTCGCAGCCATATGGCCTGTCTTTTTTCTCCTGTGATACCTCAGGTAAACATCTGTGGAACTTTATCTGAGTTTGTGGGAGAAATAATCTTGTTTTTTCTTGTGATAAAGTACTCGAATTCAGTGCTTTCTGTACTTTGGTTCTTGGAGATTTCTTTTCTGATGCAGATATTCTGGAGTCCTGTGGCATGGTATGACCAAGCCGGTGCAGCTTTGATGATATCCAAACGTCCCGTAACTCACTATGCTGGCATGGCAGCAGCTCAAGCTGGTTTGGATTATTTTGTTGATAGCGTGATTCCTGAGGCTTCTTTTTGTGCCTCGGTTTCCATGGCACAGCATTTCCTTTTTTATTTGCTGCTTGCTTCTGCTTTAAAAGTAAGGAACTATAATTATGCCGAAGAAATACGGTTTCTTTTTTCTGCAACAGGCACTGATCTTGGTTCTGTTTTGGCTGCCTCTCATGTGATATTAGATTGAGCAGCGATGCCTTAATGTCGTTCTTCTGCTCTGGATTTGTCTTGTTTGATTCAATTAATGCTGCAAGTTGAGTTAGTTGAGTAGCTACATCCTCTTCATCCTGGCTGTGAATTCCTCCTTCTTTCATTAAAGAGCTAGTTTTCAAGTTCAAGTCATTGCAGGTTGGTTTTTGCTCTAACTGGGCAAGAATTTCCAAGTTGTTACTGCTTTGTTGGACATTGAATGAAGCATTGCAATACCGGGCAAGTGTCACTTGATCATACATAAAATTACTCTTGGTAGTATGGCCCCAAAATGGTTTTGCATTAGATGTTACACCAGCCAAGGTTTTGGTATCCTGTGAGGATAAGTGTAATTTATACATCTCACCAGCCAGAGCGGCAGGTTTATCATGCAAGTCAGCAGTCAAACTTTGCCCGTTGTACAACACTGCCTTGTTAGGGAGCTGTTTCTGTGAGGCCGCACAGTGAGACAAGAGCTGCTGCTCATTCTGCAAGTAAGTGTCTTTGATTTCCTTCAATGTAGGTGAGGTAAAGGAGGATGAAATATCTCTTCTGTAACTCTGGGGCAAGCTGGAAGCTGTTTCTTCTATATATTCTGTACTTTTGGTTTTAATCGGTGAAGTTTCTAAAGGGGCTTCAGACAACTGTGTTAAAGCTTCAATAGCTACAACCTGCTCAACGGTTAAATTTCTGTTTTTAATCAGGGACAGGAAAGTGGGCTGGAATGAAGGATTCTCCTGCTTTATCTCTTGGTTGGGTATTTTAATGCCATCCTTCTCTGCAGGGGCTTCCTCTTCAGGCAGTGGAGGACAACACAAACTTCCCTGCAGATCCGAAATGGAGCCAGTTTGCAAAACAGACTTATCAGAATCGTGAAGGACCACACAAGCGCAGTTTTTCTCTTTCATGAAAACATTTCCTTGCTTTTCTGCATGAACACAACTAACACCAGTTGTCAGAGTATTTACAATGTCATTCAGATTAGCAGCTTTCGTCCAATGCGTATGGGAGTTGCTTGTCAAATCTGCTCTTTCCTCTGCAGGTACTTTTTTCAGGGAAACAACTGATTCTGGCGGTGAATAATGTAGGGTTTTTATGCCATTTCTGATGGCTTGTGCAAGTGACTTTTTTGGCTCAGTTACCTGACTGGGGGAGACTGCTCTTTCACTTTCTCCAGTGCTTTTCAAGTGTTCGCTCCCTGTCACAGTTCCATGGATGTCTCCGTTGACATGGACACCAAAAGATGACTTCTCATTATGTGCCCAATTCTCTGCTTCTAAGCCTGTCATTCTTTCTTTCTCCTTACACTGTGCATTTTCGAGGGGTAGTGTTTGGTTTGGTTTCACCCTGTATTTTTCACCATGACCACATATACTGCATTCCATGAGTTCTGGTCTGCGGCCATTTACTGGTTTGTTTTCTAAATTTGCCTATAAAACAATTAAAGAAATGTTTTAACAGCTGCTAAAATAAAAATAAGAAGCATAAGCTTTATGACAACTAAGTCTTATTTTGACAGATATAAAGAATACCCTAATTAAACACAGGCACAGATGTTGACAAAAAAAGAACAGGAAGTCGTAAAAAAGTCTGAAGCCAAAGGACCTGATTCATATTTATAGTTAGTTCTGTTTCACTGTTCTGGAGGGGAAAAAGGAAAAAAAAAACAAAGACAGAAAAAAAAAAAAAAGAAAGCATGTGCATATGGCAGTGGCAGAGTTACTATGACTATAAAAATAAAAGACTTCAGCCCTTAGAATCAGATCTGAGGATTAAATTTCACATTGAATTTGCATAAGTAGATGAAAGTCTCCCTTGAGCTCAAAGCGGGACTGAAATCTGAAGGTTTGTGTTGCAAAAAGTTTACTAGGAACCCAGTGCAATTGTACGTCAGTGGCTGGACCAGGGAAGTGATACAGCACCTCTCGTAAGAATGGCTATTTTTCAGCTTCGTTGTGATTCCCTCAAAAAAAGGACAAGAACGACAAAAACCTAAAGGAATGATAAGCCAAAAGACTGTCAAAGTAAGAGCTATGTTGCTGGAACTCTTTATACATAATATGCATAACTCTTTCTACATAATATACTCTGACAATATCAGCAGTGAGTTGTTGCAAACAGTGGAGACCATTGCTCCTCTGACAATTTAAACCACAAAAAGCCTTCCAATGTGAAAAAGACAGGATTGTTAGTAGAAAAGTATAAATTAAGACACACACAACAGTGTTCAACTTATCAGACAGGTGAAGGTTACCATCTAAATACACACATCTCTTGCTGAGCTATCAAGATTACTACTGTTTTATAAACTCTAATATTTAAATATATTATTTGTCTTTCTGATAAGTCACAATATGTCAAAAACTAGACAGTAATAGAATATGTTCTGAAAAAATACTCATATAGGTCTCATTTAAAATAGTATTATGGCTACTAAGTATGGAGCTATGCAATTAAGTAAAATACATATGTGTATACATATATGCTTATATTCAGGCAAGAACTCAGGAGAGAACAAGAATGAAGACAAATACAATTTTATTAAGTTAAAATGTATTTCTATTTACATTAAATTTTATTAAAAAAACACAATAGTCAGCGCTGCTACCTAAACGTATTTTAATCTTTAAGAATTAAGTATTCTGCAGCCCTAAGCCCTATTTAGCAAGCAAAATGGTACTGCTTTATAAATCAGATATAAGCAATACAACACATTACTTAAACCATACCTTAGCACAATAGATCTTACAAGCATGCAGAAATTAGCACCCAATCTAATAGATGGAATAGCACCCAGTGCTTAGTTAAAGCAAAACACATTTTAATGGTCATATCAATGAATGCATGGACTTTTCTAAGAAAATAAACTAAAATGTACCAATGTAAAACAAAATTCTGATTAATGGCAATCAGCTGGATATCACTGCCAGAAACCCCCAGGCAAAATGAAGCATATGGACCCAACTTCAGATGGAGCCCAGTTTTCACCCTACAATCGTTTTCTAACTGATTAAAAAACAAAATCAGGAGAAAAAAAGAAAAGCATTGATGCATCACATGAGGAGGATTTACATTAGGAAAGAAAGATACCTTATATTAATGCCTTTTTTTTTTTTACACTGATTTCATCACACTGATCATAACTAATGATCTGTGAGCCTGAACTTATCTGAATCCTTGTGGTTTTCAATGATCCACAGAGCTGAAGCATCACTGAGCAATTTCTAAGGGTTTCACAAAAGCAATTAAGTCAGCCAACTGCTAGCAGAGGTAAATGACATACACGGGCATCTGTGGCTGCACCAGAAAACATGTTAACATTACAGCATTGAAAAGTAAAACTCACAATTCTATACCCACAAAAAAGATGCGTTTAAATGAACTACCTTCTCCTTTCTTCCCCCTGCCCCTTGTGTCTTGTAGCACATCAATCTATCATCAGCCAGAAGTTCTCCAAACAATACAAATTTGCTATTGAAAATCAAATAATGAAAGAAGGAAATATGAACAAATATATTCAAATAATTTCCCAGCATTTAAAAGCTTTCATCATGAAAAAGAAAAGGGGGAAGAAGGTCGATGATCAGAGATGAGATGGAGTCCCCTGACAGAGGCCCAAGTGCAAAAACACCAACATACTTCTCAGCTATGCTGTTCCTCCCTGAAATACCTTTACCAAACCAAAAAGCTGTGCTTGAAATTACTCAGAAGATTCCCCAACCTGTCAGAAGTGCATGGGTGTAGTGCTGTGCTTACAGACACCACGAATCTCAGCATTAAAGCAGGATTACTTTAAAAAAGTACTCCCCACACATCATCATTTCCACTAACATAACTTGAAGCTTCCCACATGCAATGAGAAAAGAAAAAAGTAGATGAATAATGAATAATCACTGTCATTGTTTGATTTATATTTTATTTTTTCATATAAGGAAAAAATTATTTTCATATAAGGAAATAAAATTTTTTTCTTTTAAATCAAATTCCTTTCCTTTTCCCTTCCCTTCCCTGAGAACTGCTTTTTATCTCTTGTCACTGATCTGCAATGAATCCTAACAAAACACCTTTTTCTTCCTTTCTTACCAAAGTTTTCAGGGGCCTATCCCATTCCACAAGCAAAGTTATTGTCTGCAGTGTAAAAAGCAAGGGAGATCCCCTAGCAGGGCCTTGGAGTCTTCCCCTCAGCCTAAGTCTGGCACACCAAAAGTAATAGCTCAGCAAAAAAATTGCAGCAAAGCAACCTAGCAGCAATCTATCTTTGGGCCTAAACCAAAGTACTTGAAACTGCAGCCAAGGACCCCACACTTGCACACAGAAGCCTCAGAACTCACGCAGGTTGAACACGGAAGACCGATCAGATTTAATTCTGAGGCTTTTAAACAAGTGTAATCAAAACCTAAGGAACAAAGTGATCAATAAAAGTAATTTCCTCTCTTCCTCATTAATGGGAGCACTCCTCTATCCGAAGACTCAAAAACACTAAAAAATCACCCCCGTGCATCGGCGGGATCCATGAGGGTAGAGCCTCTTTAACCATTGCTGAAGTACTTAACCTGAATCCAACATCACAGCTCATACTTGAACAAATCATCATGCCCATTCAGGTTGGCAGGAGCTTGTAACACACCTCAGAGCTCGGCTATATTCACCAGTTCACTCAAACACCCCAGGAAAAACATTCTTTAAGAAAAGCTGCTTGGGGAAAGTAGTAAGAACTTGCTCTAATATTTGAGTATGGTGTTTCAAACACGGTCCTACTGGGAGACTGCCACCAGCCCACCAAAGCATAAGAAAATAGCAGTCAAGGGACAGCAGCAATTTATTTCTGTTCTCTGCTGCCTGCTCTCCAGGACATGCAGCCAAGTACTGGACCAACATATATAGGTAGGCAGGTAAGATCTGGATCGGATAAGAGATACAAGGCAAAGAATCAGTTTGTAATTTTGCCAACAGCAGTCTCCTGGGAGAAGCATCTAACTATTGCATTATACAGCCTAATATTATCAGTATATCACAGCCGTCCCTTGAAACACACACGTAAAAGAAGATTTGTCCCCCTCTCACCCCATGCACTTGCACATATCAGCAACTATTTACAGCTAAAAACATCAACTGAAAAAATAGCAAAATATTATGTCTTTCTAGTTCAAATGCTGAAGTAAAATATTGCAACAGTATTTCAGATCCAGCACCCTTCTCCTTTTAAGTGTTGCTGTGGTACAGGTGGAAATCAGTAGACAAAATGCCCTCCAAATGATGCAAGCACCAGAAAAAAAAAAAATCACATGTGCTACTTTCATCTAGGCAGCAGATAACCCTTTACACGGGCCGCATGAAAAGAAACTGTTTCTAAACTGTAAGAATTCCATTCCAATCGGGAACTTGCTTGAGAGTTAATGTCAAGGATTGTTCATCTTCCACCTTTTCTTACTTGATATTTTTAATTTTGTTTTCTTTCAACTACTCATCTTCCATAGCAGGTGCAGAGTGAACCGGAGAAAAATGAATGGAAGAACTCAAATATGGGCAGGTCAGGAAAGAACACTACATCTGAAAAGGAGAATCCCAGGAAGCCACCAAAGTAAATGGTTTAGTTTTCTTGTCCTATAGTGTCTACACTCCTCAGCTTCAAGAAAAATATTTTGAAAATAATAAGCACAGCTACTAAAAAGGGAACAATTTTCTACAAGCACCCCCTCCCATTTCATGAATAATCTAAATCTGAAAAAAAAAATGCCTATACTAACTTCTTCACGCTAAAGGTCCCACTTTAAAGACCCTGTCTCCTTATTTTAAACGTAAAATCATTTGGAAATAAGTGGAATGCAATAGTTATAGCAGAACAGAAACTCTATGTTGGGGCCGATGTTAATACAAGACAGGTTGGAATGCAAATATCACTCCTAATAAATTAATATGAGTATCTTAATAACGATTACGCATCTTTTTCCTCGATTATTTCTCTTTTTTTCTGCATGGCCAACTATATTCTTCATTAACTAGAGGTATGACCTGCCATCAAATTGCTTTGCTCTCAGTTTCTGAGGTCAGTTAATCTTACATTTGCCTTCACAATATTGTGCAGATTACCAACACCACTTCTGCCAAGCTTCTTCGTGATACTTCTGCAGGTTTTGACTCTCTCATCTCTAAATTTGTCCTCAACAGAGTGGGCTCATGCCATTCTCATTTGCGCACCCCCCACACACATGCAGAGGAAATTCCCAGCAATCTTAATCTTCCTGCCCATTGCAGAATGGCACCCCCATATACAAGTGCCCGCTCCTCCTCACTTGAGTTTCACCTCCATTTTATCTACCTTTCTAACCTCTTGGCTATGCTCTTCAAACACTAAGCAGCTCTCCCACCATGGAAGTTCCTCATCTTGTCTTTCTACACAGAGTTTGTATATTATGGCCTTAAAGCCTTT